TTTTTTTTTTTTTTGCAGTACCAGGAATTGAACTGAGGACTTTGTGCTTGACAGGCAGGTGTTTATTCTACTGAGCTATCTCCCTGGCCTGGATGCTCCATTCTTTAACTCAAAACAGTTTTTTAAAAAATGTATTTAGTACAGGGTCTCCAGGATCTCACTACATAGATTGGACTCATAGTGATTCTCCTGTTTTTAGCCTGCCAAGCTCTGGGATTACAGGCGAGCTCATGCTACCGTGCCCTGTCTCAGTCACTGTCTCAGTGTGCCCCTGGAGGCAGGGCCAGCACAGCACATTGGGGATCGAACCCCAGCTGCAGCGTTCTGCCTAAGCAGGCACATTAGTCTGCTGAGCTATCTGGCTGACCCTAATTCAGACAGTTTTTTCCTCCCTTTTAATTGGAGCGATTACTGGGAATATACATATTTGACAAACATATAAGACATCTTTGGCAAAGGTCTGACCCTTTAGCAGGTGATGTTCTGTGGGCGTGTCTAGGGTGGAGCTTGGCCTCCTTCAGCCAATTTGGGAAAATTGTGAAGGTTCCTATTGTTTGGAAGTTGTTAAATGAAAGAAAAGGCTTCTATTTAACAACTTCATTACAAGCCAGGGTATGTGGGTGAATGTGCTGAGCATCAATAAAAATGAGCTGCTGACACAGAAGGGCTGCTTGGGTTCTGCGGCCTCCGCTGGGGCTGCAGGAGGAATGGCCTGGAGTTACCAGGGAGGCGCACAGAGTGACAGGCATGGTTGGAAGCCAGTAACAATGTTTTTGCTGACGTGTTTAATTTTCTTGTCTGCTCCTTTGCGGCTTCCTCCGCCCCTACCTAGAATATTCCAACAGCAGAAAGAAGACGTGGACACTGAGGTAGGTTTGAAGTGGTTTGTGACAACACTGTCTGATGTTCTTCCTCTAGGTAAAAAAAAAAAATTTTTTTTTAAATATATATATGCTTAGTTGCTCTTGTCTTTTTCTTCTGAACTATCCTTTTTTTTTTTTTTTTTTTTTTTTTTTTTCTTTTTTTTCTTGAGACAGGGTTTTACTATGCAGTTCAGTCTGGCATTGAACTCTCAAATTTGTATCTCAGGCTGGTCTTGAACCTGCAGCAATCCTCCAGAGAGCTGGATTACAGGCCTATGCCAGTATACCCTGCAGGGCCCATCCTTTCCCTTAAATCCCAAAGCTTTCCCGCCTTGTGCATGTCTGTTGTCAAGCAGACATCCCAGTGATGCTTTGAGTTTCTGTATTTTTCCCTCTAACTGAGCAGAGCTGGCCCAGAAGATTTTTCCAATCTTAGAGTAAAAGAACTACAGTGCAAATTTTGCTTGATATAACTGTACATCCTTTCAATCATTTTGCCTTGTTTTTTCATGTTAAGCCGTTCATTGTTTATTGAGTATCTGTTACATTCCAAGTTGATTTTATTATTATTAATTTATTTATTTATCTTTTGGTGGAACTGGGGATTGAACTCAGGCCCTTGTGCTTGCTAGGGAAGCACTTATTCCAGTGAGCCATCTCTCTGGCTCCCCAAGTTGATTTAGAAAATAGTATTTGAATGGCAGTGGAATACCCATCTCTGGCAAAACTAGACAAAAAAAGGGGATATAAATGAAGGACCATTTTGTATCTATATGTACAAAATAGGGTAGATATACAGCTATTTTCTCTTAATTCAATGAGAAGAAAGATTTGTACTAATAGTGTTTGGACAGGATATCATGTCTGCATCTTGTACTATGAATAACTACTACAAAGACAACAATGTGTAATGTATTAATTATTGCAACTGTCCTACTAATGTTTTGAAACTGTCTTATTGCTCTTTATTTCTCAATCAAATTAATAAAAGTGTTGATACTTGAAAATAAAAAAAAAAGGAAACAAAACATGTAAGCAAATAAACAAGGTCATGCTAGGTGTTTCCCTACAAACAATGTGGAAGCATAGAGCCAGGAGCAGGCTCTTGGCATGAGCCTGGGTGCAGATCTGGAGGAAGCGCCTTCCCCCTGGAGGGGCAGGATGTGCAGGGGCTCTG